ACTCAGGAGTTCTGATTAGAGTTCCCACTTCCCACTTCCTTTTGACAAGACGGAGAGTTCCCTATAGTTAATAGCAATTTGGGGGAATTTTTCAGATAGAGTTGCGTTTCAAGACCGACGATTGTTCGGCGCGCAAGTTGGGGGGGGGGGGGGGGATACATATACATATATCACTTTGAATAATATATTGCGAAGAATATTACTACGTCGACCCGCCATCAGAGGTCTATAGATATTCGCTAAGATTCTCGCAAGTGCTTTGATACGCGTATATCTGTATATATAGAATCTCGATTTAATAACTAAAACAGGCGTCTAAGGTAGGCTTCCATTACAATACCTTACTGATGAGTCCAGTATTGGAAGCCGGGACGAAACGCCAACATTACGTGATATTCTACGCAATATATTAGAATAAATAAGATTAAAAGATTTTAATGAATCTATGGCTCGTAGCCCTATACTCTCATTAATTTTAAATTTATTGAGCCTTATTACAATTTAAATTTTAATAACAAGAGTTCCGCTCAATAAACATTTTTCTACATTTTTTAAAAATGGGGTGCTAACTTTTTATCGAATTCGAGGTGGAATAGTTCTGAGCGGCTTAATAGCTTCAATTTGCGATTGCCCAGAGTTCCTAATATGTAAAAAAAATTTTCGAATAATAAAAAAAAAATTAAAAATTTTAGAGAAATTAATTTTTAGATACAATAGTTCTGCTGATAATTCCTGCTTCTTTTTGACGATACGAAGAGTTCTCTATGATTTTTAACGACATATGCGCTTAATAATTATTATATAATAATTTTTTAAAACATTCATACAGATTCCAAATTTACAGAGCTGCTTTGTGAAGTTGGCACCTAAAATGCGAATATTGGTAGAATCATTATTGCATTCGTTTGTCCACTGTTTGTCCACGTTTGTCCACCCATTATTTTCGTTTGTCCACCCTACGTTTATTATATTTTTCGTAATAGTGTAAAATAATCACTTGGGGGTGTTACAATTTTTTTTGTGCATAACTTTTTTTTGGAGGGTGGTCCAATGAAAATAACGGTTGGACAAACGTGGGCAAACAGTGGACAAACGAAAGGAATAATAATATTACCAATATTCGCATTTATACAGATTCCAAATTTACAGAACTGCTTTTTGTGAAGTTGGCACCTTAAATGCGAATATTGGTAAAATCATTATTGCATTCGTTTGTCCACTGTTTGTCCACGTTTGTCCACCCATTATTTTCGTTTGTCCACCCTACGTTTATTATATTTTTCGTAATAGTGTAAAATAATCACTTGGGGGTGTTACAATTTTTTTTGTGCATAACTTTTTTTTGGAGGGTGGTCCAATGAAAATAACGGGTGGACAAACGTGAACAAACAGTGGACGTTTGTCCACGATTCGTAACGAACGCCCCCTAAATCACCAATATACCTAATTTCACCAAAATCAAACAGTCTTTAGGATTTACGTTAATTTTACGTCCGCCATATTGGATCCACTATTTCGAATTTTCAATTTTTGAGTACAGATTCGAAATAATCGACCCCGAAAACCCCCGAATACGAAACCACATCAAAATCAGAGAATTCCAACAACCTCAACGAAAAGAGGCATCAAAAAAGTGTGACACGCCAATTTTAAGATATGATGTAAAAAAAATGTTTATTGAGCGGAGCTCTTGTTATTAACTATAGAGAACTCTTCGTCTCGTCAAAAGGAAGTGGGAACTCTAATTAGAACTCCCGAGTACTATAGTTGGGGTGCTGACTTAACATACCCATATTAATAAGATTACCAATACATCCATTACCTCAATAAGAGTTTTTGATTTATCACTCACCGATCCGATGCGCAACAGCGGAGTTACATCTGCAACGTCGCTACGATGATTCTGTAACAAAAAAAATACACAATCCAAATTAAAACACAATTATAAATTTTATGAAAAGACCTCTTAGGAACATTTTTATAAAATTTCAAATTTTGAAGCAATCCTTTTTTTAATCAAATAGTATTTTTATAAATTATAGTAAAGTAAAACTATTTAAGATATTAAATTAAGCAAAGATACCGATTTACATAAGAAAATAATAATATTTACCGCAAGGTTGCTCCACCGGTGCCCGATGCCTCTGCCGGTCCTCCTCCTCCTCTCAGATTTCGATTGATATCCTCTCGCACTGGTCACTCGCGTAAAACACTCGCGAATAGCATACTACAATCGCGCGCGGACTATAATTATTCCAAAGTCTTTCGCGCGACACTGACGTTTTCCGGATTTACAAAAAACCCACGATAGGTTTTCCATTTCGGTTGGTGGAATCAATACCACACGTGTCAATTAGTCCGATAACAACTTCAACGGCACTCCCGAAACAAACGCGACGAACCGGCTGCGGTTCGTATATTTTCAATTAAATCGGCGACGAAAGGGTACGTTGGCTTCCCCGTCGTTGGATTTTTACACGAGAAGAGAACGACTTTACTCGAGTATCTAAAAATTTATCTAGATACGTATCATTTAGATAGATTCGATAATTTTGAGATACTTTAGGAAAATCGTTTTACTTCCTCGTGTACATCCTCGGGGTACTGAGCCCTCTCACCACGTCAAGGTCGTACCCGTGAGAGGGAAGATATATGAAATTCTGAAAAATAAAATATATATTTATTATTAATATTACTATGCAATTATCAGTTAAAAATGAATATTAAATACACATCAATTTGTCACGAAATAAATTAAGAGCAGATAAAAGGATTGGATCTCTTATTATAATAACTATTAGATATCACAGTAAGGATCCATGAAATGGGCTAGAAATTAATAAAAATGAGAAATATTCCTTTTATTAGCGACAAATAGTTCTATAATTACGCTAACACATACGTACAAGTTGTTTTTATACGGATTATACTACAAAAGATGCGATTTAATTGCAAACAAACAGAGAGAACGAGAGAGAGAGAGAGAGAGAGAGAGTTATAAAAATTGAAATATAATGGAATGTTACAAGCACTTCACGTAAATGATTATGCAAAAAAGTTACGCTAGTGAAAACCACTTTTTATCTATTTCGTCTTATGTCAGCACAACAGTTAATACGAATTATTTAAAATTATAAAATAAATGTAAAATATGTTTTTTGGTGTACAATTAAAGTGTCATATTAAACGATTCGTGCTGTTAAAATTAAACTGCTAGAAATTGTCTCATTAATTCTAGGATAAAATACTAATTGGATTTCACTCTGTTTCAAATAATTTAAAGTCAAATTATTATTATACTAATATACAATTTGGTCCTATTAAAAAAATAATACAAAATAGAACAGAATTGATGAGCTAAGTGCCAGTTATGTAATAAAGAACGTTTAATTCTTTAAATTTAATTCTTTAAAGAATTAAACGTTTTTTATTACTTTATTTAAAAAAAATAGATGTTTTTAGTAAAAAAGATTAAAAGATTAATCTTTATTATTTTAAATAAGTTTTTAAAACTTATTTTATGTTTTTTATTTTAAATACGCCTTACCAGTCAGCAGTCGGTAGTATTTAAAATAATTTTATTTAAAATATATATTTCAAATATATATATATATGTATATGTATTTAATATGTATTTAAATTATGTAAAAGCAAAATGTGTGAAGCAGTTATTTAACATTTCGTATTTTAAAAAAACTTTTTCTAACTTATTTCTTATTTAATATTTTAAGTAAGTTTTTGGAATGTAAAATACAACGTTCAGTATTACCTTTAATAGTGTTTGTCACAAAAATACGTTTCAGAAAGAAATATTAAGTAGAGCGGTACAGCTACTTACTTACACCGAGCCGCGGTAATGAAATCTTTCCTTCTTCTTCTTATATACACAAGCGGAGGCAATACGGCGCCAGATCACGTCCAAAATAGATTTCGTCTTTTTCGTATGTAGGTACAACAGCGGGGGATGCAACGCCCGCGAAAATGGCGTTGCTCGAACGAATACCGGGCGCGTGTTTCTACGGCGTCGTCACGTCGCAATAACGCGCGTCAGGAATCCCAGTCGTCAAAACGACGAACAATCGAGACGAGCCCATCCACGGACACTCATCAGTGAGGCTCAATTGCTCAGTCGAAGTCGGCAACGCTTTCAAAAATATAAAACGGAAAGCACCCGATCTGAAACGCGCCCGCCGCGGCCGAGCGGCTCTTCGGAACTCGCGGTAATGAAATGACTGTTCGCCGCTCGGTTCATCGGCGAGCCGGGTGAGCGGGGGATGTGCGACCCGCGTCCGCCCTTCCACATCAAAACAATTGCCAAGGATTGTTTTCACTAACCGTCTAATATTATAACCGTCGAAATTTTCGTTAACGCGCTCGCGTATTACAAAAAGTAATTAAAATTTGTCACATTTTTACTGTTCTCCGATAATTACAATTTACGATACGATTTTTGATTTATTTCTTACATCTGTTACGGAATTCTGTTCAAAGATAAAATAACTTCGTCAAAAATCGTCGAATCGAGATATATGTTTAAAAAAGTATATCAAAGCTTGAAGTCTTTACTTTTCAGACTGGTATTTCAAAAAACGCCGCGGTCTTAACTGATATTCCGTCAAGTTACACAAACATAAATAAACGTGCGTCAAACCTGAAAATTTTTACGAAATTTGACAAGTTCCAGAAAAATTATGGAATACTCACCTGTTTATTCCACAGTATACGATTTCTGATAGGTTGAAATTCTTATTCTCTGTTCCCTTATTGTTCCTGCACCGTCTGATCTATAAATTATTCAAATCTCTATGAGTGAAACCATTGAAACAAATACACGTTTGTTCGGCATTACGATGTTATCGATAGAGTCAGAAAATGGATGAAGTCACGTATAGTTCCCAAATCGAAAATGAATGTACTGGCGGTAGTGTACGACTTCGTCGGTAACAGGGAAACAGCCGATATGTCCTCTTTTAGTTTTTTTCTGATCGTCGAGCGAGGATAGCAGTGGATAAGCAGCCATTGATTGATGAACGAACGTCCAACCAAATGTGAATAATTCGATCCAAGTGCAGTCGACGAATATCGCCAAAAGAGTATCTTGCATTGATCCCGGCACGTTGCGAAAAATCGTCGGGTAAATGGCGAGTCATAATTATTTGAACGATCCTAAAAATCCGTTCTTCTCGTTAGAGGATGACGTAGACGACGAGACGTTTCTGAGAAACGCTCCAATTAGAACTGTACCCGCGGGGCGTTATGAGAACCTCGATAATGACATTATGCAAACGCGGCAGCAATTGTTGCAACGTAAAAAGGAAATCGAGGAGCGTACGGTACAGTCTTCTGAAAGATCTGTTTCGCTTCTGAGAGACTCGGAGCAAATTGGTGTAGCCACAGCCGAGGTAATTGTTATTGATACACCCATCTCATTGTCAGTTTTCTATCGTCACTTGTGTACCGATAGTATGACAACTGACACAAGATTCATGTCTGCTTAACATATTTGATTAATAGAATAATTTTGATTTCTCTGTGACATTTATATTGTCATTAATGGGTGTATAAATTATTATTAATATTAAGGAGAGACTTTGCAAAAATATAAATCAAAGAATAAATGTGCCTTTATGAGCAAAGCACAAGATAAACGAGTAAGTAACTTTAGTTAAATAATGCAATAATTATAAATGTTTTGATCGCCAATGTAATGTTTCTCAATATGAAACCATTTTTTTGTAACATCACACATGTAGCAGAAACTTTATTATATGATTTGTATTTAAAATTTTTATATTGAGAAGGATCCAAATTGAGAAGATTGAAACGTCTATAATTATTGTATTATTCAAATAAAATTATTTACACATATTTATCTTGTGTTTGGCCTTTTATTCTTTTATTTCTTAAATAAAGGCACTTTTATTCTTTAATCAATTATTATTTAAATCTATATTTCCAGGAATTAATCAGACAAAAGGAACAACTGCAGAGGACAGAAAAAAGATTAGATGATATTAATAGCACATTAAGATTTAGTCAAAAACACATACAGGGCATAAAGAGTGTATTTGGTAGCCTGAAAAATTATCTCAGTGGCAAATCTTTAGATACTCCGATACCATCTACAAAGTTATCAGAATCTTCCAGTTCTGGTTCCATGACATCTCCTGCATTGTCCAATACATTAGAACAAGTACAAAGTGACATAAACAATTCATATTCTTCAACAATGATAAGAGGAAGTTATGATCATACTCCGGAAGATGTTAAACCTGTCGGTGATAGAGTAACTAAAGTTCTCGAACAGAATCTAAGTGAAATGAGTGGATCATTGGCAAGACTGAAACATCTAGCAATTGGTTTATCTGAAGAAATAGATTCACAGAATGACCTAATCGATAATATCACTGATAAAACTGAGAAAGCTGATATAACGTTGCAACAACAAAATAAAGACATGTTACATTTATTGAAAAAATAAGTTCGATATATATCAAAATCCGTCATATATCAGAAACTTTTTACTGGTAATACTATGTACTAACTGTACTTCTATGAAGTATAGATGTATTATATATATATATATATATCGAGCAATAGAATAATTTTTTTTACATTTATTTGTATTGGATCGGTATGTTGCACTTTGCAATTATATTGTGTGATGTGTTTATATAGAGTTTTTCACAAAGCAAGATTATACATGCAATCTTTATATTATAATTATAATGAAACCTACAGAACATGTTTATTATTAGAAATTATGGTCTTTAATGCGGAAAAACCTTTTCTTCTACAATTGTTTTACTATAAAACTAAACGTGATATCTTTACGTACGAATATTAAATAAAAGATTTTTTTCAATATTTCTTGAGGTCTTTTGTCATCTTTTAAAATGAGAATTGTGATAAGCGCGCGCGCACACACACACAGACACACATTTTCGTGTATGACAATTACAAATAGAAATTTTTTTTATAACAATTATTCTAAATAGATCTTGATTTACAAAAGTATGAAACCACTTAATTTCCTAAAGAAATAAAAATATTGCAAAATTATACACGTGAACATATTTATATAATAACGAGAAAATTATAATTTATACTGTTTTTAGTTTTATGTAAAAGTATTTATTGTGTAAATAGATGGAATGACATTTCTATAAATTATAATTATAGGAACAATCTTTCTTTCATAATGTTTATAGCATTTTCTCTTGGCTGCACTATCGCCCATCAGTGCAACACTCGGACAGTGCAGCATGCTTGCAGTAGCGCTATTTACATTTCTATCTCACTTCTTCTTATCTGTCCTCTCTGTGTCTCCCTCTCTCTCTCTCTCTCTCTCTCTATCAGGACCATTTAAACGTTTCCGTTTAAATTCTAATAATTTACAAAAACGCAAGAAATTTAACAGGAAGAAACGCATTGTATACGTCGCAGACTTTAATTAAAATATTTTCATTGTATAATATTTATATCATACAATATTTACATAAGTTTATATTTTCTTATCTTTTTATTTTACAATGCATTACAATTATGGATCTATTTTTTTTAAGTTATTATTACATGTAGTACCTACAAATGAGCTAGAGTAACTAGAAAGAGATGGAAAGTAAAGAGCAAGTGAAATAGAAGTTTAGATGACGTTACTGGGAAACTAGCTTATTTCGCGCATGCGCACTCCATTTCGGGCTTCACTACATCAAAGGTGCCGAGAGAGAGTTGCGTTACTTTATGTATATGTACTGTTAATGGTGTCGACGCTGTACATGTTCGAAGCCACTCACTTCAAGAATTGAGAATTGCTTCAGTGGTAAAGTTTCAGCCAGTTAGGCTGCAAGGCCAATAAATTTAAGAAGAAGAAGTCAGTCCGGACTGACTTTACAATTAGTACGGGCAATATTGAATTGAGTAAGTACTACGCAGTACTAACGTTCCTCTCGCCAAAGACGAAATTGCATTTGTGTATTTAGCAAAAAATATATTTCGGTTTTATGCCACGTATATCGGTTTTTTTTTAAATTTTGTACCGTATATTGATGGTATTATTGGTATCGTATATTTTGGAAATAAACTTTCCATATTTACGCAGCGTTTCATTTTCCATGTAAAAATTTCATATCGGAACGTTCAACAGGTTAATCCGCATCAACTTGATCTTCTGATTAAACAAAATAAGCAAGACGTTTGAATTCATTCAATCAATGGTGATAATTTCGTCAGATAACAAGAAAATAAAGCAATTAATTCTCTCATATACTTGCACCTTCACAACTGACACATAATATTTACCAAGTATGTATACATAGAATATTTTATTTTGTTTTGTTCGTCTGTTCGTTTTTAACCATCACTGTGGATTATGACTACAAAATACCTCATGATTTACAGATGTCTTATTTACGGGCAATTCAAAAAATACCAGGCGATACTGCCAATGAGAAATTACGTTGGATCGGAAGATTGACTTTGTACCAGAGCAGTAGTGATCTTGAACAACTTCCACCAGAATTACTGCCTATATTAAATGTAGAAACTGCCATCAAAAAAAAGAAACATGAAGATATAACATTTGCTCTTAAGTGCGAAGACTCAGCGATAATAAACCGTGCCTTTAAAGCCTTTTGGTTTTTTGATGGTAGCCATAAAGAAATTGTTAACGTCAGGTATTTTTTCGAACATCTTTTCCCTTACGTTTCTATAAACACAAGAACACGTATTGTACTAACACTTGCACATCAATTGTCTGGCAAGGATCCAATTTTTGCGCAGGAAATATTTACAGAAATTGTATCGATTTATGGCATTAAAACCGCTTATCCGTTGATCATAGCTTGCAATGAGACTTTCGCTTATAAAATAATTGTGCAGAAGGAATTAGTGTTGCCTAAAAAAATTGTTAAAAAGATCTTTTATATCAATCCGGATTTGGTAGTGCGTTTTCTCAAATTATTGAAACCCTGTGAACTAAGTGCGACTGAGCGTACTTCCTTCGCGATCGGTATTGACAGATACAAATCTTTCCTCCCTAAATTAATAAAGAAACGACTGGAGGCTTTTATAGAACTGTTTGAGATTCATGAAACTTCTCCACCGAATATTATTTTGAGCAACAAGTGCGCCGAAATATTTCTTAAGAAAGCTCAGCAACACCTGATACAAAAGCCACAGTTATATATTCGTATCTTACCACTCAAAAAAATTAATAAGGATTTAATGGAAAAAGTTTTCCCTGGTCTGTTGCCTCCAACAATGTCTGAGTTCCGTACAGATGATATGCTCGGGTACTTGAAACATTATCCATGTGATAAACAATACGATTTGCTTCGTAAATCATACAAGGATAAATATAACGTTGATCTTCTTGACGAAACAAAAAATGTCACGACTGCCTTATTACAGTTATTACCTGTCGAGGAACGGATCAAACAGACTAAAATTAAAATTATTGAGGAGCTGAACTTAGATGAGAATCGTTATAAAGTCTATATGGAATTCGATAAACTATATAAACCTAGTGTAAACCTTTCGTTCCTAAAAAAAGATTTGATTTGTTGTTTACCTGTTAACGAAGTTATTCCGTTTTTCAAAGAAATATTAAATGTAACTAAAGAAGAAAAAGTTAGAATTGATCTCCTTTTGCAAATGATCAATGTTTGTAATGTTAATAAAGATGATAATGCCTTGTTCGATGTCTTAACATATTTTTTAGATAGACATAAAAACGAAACCTTGTATGTGTTCACAAGAATATTCGATCAACTTTCAGAAATAAACAAGTTACCTTATTCAAATGAACAGCTGATTTCTCTTGTATTAGACATTGTTCAATTATGTTATATAAAAAATCAATTCATACCGGAAAAGATACTTGTGGCTACAATACATTTCAAACTTATACACAATATGCCAATTGAGGGGTTGATCAATATGCTTTTAGAAAAGCGATGTTTTAACATACTTAAAGAATATCCACAATATGAGAGACAATGTCTCGTAACTTTCGCAAATCAAATTGAAAAAAAATATTTTGAATTAATGAAACCAATTAATAAAAAATCTTTTGAATTAATGAAAACAATTAATAAAAAAATTTTCTGCCAATTTTTTGAAGCAATATATGATTTTAACAATAGATATAAAAAATCGTGCATCAAAATAGAAAAAATGACAATTAGAGATTATCCTTGGTTAATGGATGCCATTTACAGAATTCTACGTTTTTATGAAAATTATAACGAAAAGTTTGATGAAAATTCTGACGAATATTCTGACGAAATTTCTCATAAATATTTTGATAATGGAAATCCTATCTTAAAAAATATATTGCAGAAAAATGAACCAGAACTGTACTGCAGTTGGTTTCCTTCAAATATCGCAAATGTAACGTCAAACGCGGCGCTCGCTCGATTGAAACGAGATTTACGAAACATACTGGATAATTGGGAAGAATATTTAGCAAATTGCATGAAGAACTATAATATAAAACATGTACAACGCTTTATCAAGGCCACGCGATGGTATAAAGACTTGCCCATTAAATTTTTTGAACGTTGCACGAATTATATTTACGATGAAAATTCAAATAAAATATCATCAAGCCTAGTTGTCTTGGCTCTTCTATGTCATGGTGATGAATTGACAAAACTGATCGATCCTTTCATACCCACAGAAACAACGATAGATATCAATCATTCCAATGCTAAAAATAACTATAAAATTATAAAATATTTACCATTGAGCATGAGACTTTCTAATCCACCAATACCTCTCGATCTCATAGTTAGATTGTGTGTAGGAGATTATTTATCAATAGCTTTGATGACACTAACAAGTGTAAGTAGGCGAACTTCTTTGCCTAAAGTTATATCAACTGTACAAAAATTGACGAGTATGCGTGTGAGCACACGTAAGCATGGAGTTAGGCTGATGTATTTGATAGCGACTAAGCATGAGCTTACAGATTTTCTCCAGAAAGCATTGGAAACCGAGAAGCATCATTCAATACGACAAGTTTTATTGCATACGTTCCAAAAATATTTTCTTAAAGAGCTAAATCCTGAAACATGGTCTCTATATTGTCAAACTATACCGACGTTGAGTTTCGATGAAAAAACATTGCTGCTTTCAGAGATGAAGCTATTTCCCGAGATCCCTAATGAATACGTTACAAGATTTCTGGATCTATGGCTCAAAACGATAGACGATTTTCAAGGATTGGACGACAAAAGCAAAAACGAATACATTGCCGATTTCTTAGAAACACTTACTACATCTATTTTCAATCTTTTATCAGAAGAATTTGCTGAAAATCTACTTCGAAGATTTTTATTCCATATCGATATTGTTGTATCCGACGAAGCAAGACGTTTCACAATATCGCATATTTTATTTGATCAGGATAAATATGCAGCACGCTTTAAAATATTTGCTGACCTCTTTCGTAACGCAGTGGTAACTTATTGGAATGTACCCCATCCTGAAAAATTATATATCTATCCAATCAACCGAGCCGTGCGTTTATTCGTAAATGATTTCATTATTAGCTACATCAATGATAAGTTTTACCGTAATAAATTTATTAACCTAGAAGTTATCGATGACATACAAATGATATTTCTATCTGTCTTATCACCCAGCCAGGACGCAAAGTCTTATTTGTTGTTGACATACGCAAAGACGTTGCAAGAATCAACCAAGAACTCTTTTGGCCTGAAACTCGGGCAGCAGTTACATGAATTAATTAACATTTTCTCACCGCTATTAGTCTCGTTTATGGTTGAGATTCTCGAGTACTTCTTAGACGAAGTATACAAAGATTCCGAACTGGAAGAAGTCAAACTTAGTGTCATAGAAGGTCTCATTGAAGCTGGTAATACGCATTCCTGTTTTATGGCTGTGAATATGTTACCTTCAACGATCCATACGAAACACATGGCAAGATACGATCGAATCATTGAAAAGTTACGAGGAATGCATGAGGAGCTTGCTACCATGACTGTTTTATGCAATTATTTAAATAAAACGCACTTGAAAATTGTTTAAACGAATCGAGTGAGTTATATATTGTTGTGTATCCTCCGCGATAATATTTTGTTACGATAAATAATGACATTTTCTTATTACACAATGTTGATGGAATCGTAAAACCTTTATATATGTTACATTATTAGTGCGTATATTTTTAATAGTTATTGAATTTTTATAGAAAAAAATTGTTAAATAATTATTGAAATATTCTTCAAATAGAATAATTATTGAATATTTTCTATTTTTGCAAGATAAATTACGAATATTTTCTCTCTTTTTCAGAAAATTATTTAAAATGTTTTTTGAAAAAATGATATATATAAGAGCTGTTAGTTCGGTGAATAAAATAGAGACATGCATATTTTTACATTGATATACCCGTCCTAAAACGTAATGTATAAATTATATATTAAAAATTTCTCAAAAATAAATAAATATACTTTAAAATAAATACCTTACTTTAATATATAATTATATAAATATTGCACAACACATATCCATTTTAATTAATTATAAATTATTTAATACGCTTCACAATATTATTTATTTCAATACATTATATTAAACCAATTTAAGTAAATAATGGACGTACTTTTTACGGCGCACAATGACTTTTTTCAATAAAATAATCTTTCTTGAACAATCTTGTTATGAAAAGTAAAAGACTTGAGAGATTTGGAAAATAACAAAAAGTATAACAAAAAAATTTTTTATTCTAAATTGTGTGTCGTGAAATCTCCAAGTGTACTTAAAATGAAATACATATATATTTAATGTTTTAAAAAAAAGAAAGCGATGATGTGTGCTGAGTGCGCGCGCGCGCACACACAAAGTACAAGCATCGCAGACTGAATATATTATATTTTCATTAACATTTCATAAAAGTTGCAAAATATGTCTGCAATATTTCTGAGGCAGTTCTGGAATAGCAAAAAGTCTACAATTCTTGCATATGGAACTTTGTTGAAACGTTGTTAAACATTACAGAATGAATCTGCAATCTTTTTAAAATATTACCGAAAAGGTTTCAGTTATTTCTAGGACTTCAAAAATGATTATATATATATATATATATGTGTATATATATAAATTCGTATTTAATCTGACAGCGATTTCATTAGGTTATCAATAAATAATCGATTCGAGGCACTTAAGTGATTATCATGCCGCATGGTTATACAGTGCGTAATCATATATTATTGACGCAATTAATAAAGATACTTTGTCGGCGAGTCACGCGATTCGCTTTAGAGAGGTAATTAAGTCAAACCTCGACCCGTATTGAGAACCGTGCCAGCTGCGGTATGGATCGTAATCCTCAATGATTGACGGCTCCTTCTCGATAATGTCGGTCCGGGTGCAGCTACAGGTCATCGCCG